TTAATATACACTAATAAAAAGAATTTTTGAAAAAGCAGAGGTTTAGTTCAAACATGGTTACAGAACATATGTATGCACATTTACATACGTAAGTATAGTGCTATGTCTTCTTAATTAAATTTTTTTCAAATATTTGTTTGTGATTTGTAGGAAAGGGAATAAATATCTTCAACAAACATTATTTTAGAACCAGACTTGTGAGTTGCCTGCATACTCATAGGAGCAGATATGATAAACAGATTATAGTTTCATAAAAAACAACTTGGCAGGGAACAGATTTCAAACTATCTAAGCATTGGAAGGAGCCAGCAACAGAGAAGAACACTCCTTGTTTCTCTAGAATGCTTTTCATAACAATACTCATCTTTTCATTTTAATTCCCAACACATTTTCAGCCACATACAACTGTCCTGATCACCTTTACCTACTATAGTAGGGCAACAAAAAGAAAGCACAACACAGTAATTAGAAAGGCAAAGCTTCTGAGTTATGAGAAAAAATAATTATTTCCATAATATACTAATGAAATACATCACTCTAGAACTGGGGTTGACAAACTTTTCTGTAAAAGTCCAGACAGGAAGCTATTACTTTAGCCTTTGCAAATCATGACTTCTGTTGCAATTATTCAATTCTACTTAATTCTGTTCTTTTAGTGTGACAGTAATAAATAAACATCTGTGTCTTTGTCCCCATAAAACTTATTTACAAAAAGAATGACAGGATAGACTTGGCCTGCAGGCCAGTTTTGAAAACCTCTTGTTTAGAATAACATTTTCTTTTCTTTCTTAACTCTCCTTAAATGGAATACTTTAGAAAAGTTATTTGTGATGGAAAGATAAAATTCTACCTACTATTTTACTGGATTTGCCATTTTGGGCAAGTTATTAATTATCTCTCTGAGTTTGTTTTCTTTTTTGTCAAGCAAAATACAAATTAGTACCTTAAGGTATGTTGAAAGGATTCAGTAACTGAGCACAGATAAGGCATCTAGAAAAATACTCAGCAAACAGATCTTAATAAAGGCTTCTCCCTTCAGAACTAGCAGGCTTACTTGAATATGCTATGAAATTTCCTTTTTATTTTTTTTTATCTTTACCTACTTACCAACATACTCATTGATCCTACAGCAATGGGTTTATCCTTCAATTCTGGATTGTCCCTCATTTCTACAGCTGCATAGAAAGCATCCATGTCAACATGCACTATGGTATTGTTCAAATTCCGGCTCTGCTCTAAGTCCATTGCAAATTTGTCAACCTTAATTTAAAAAAAGGTAACATACTTTTAGACAACATAATATTGAAACATCATTTATCATAACATTAATTTAGAAGGTATCTACCTGTCTCTGCATCCATCATTTATCCAGCTACTCACTTGTGGGTGCATATTTTATTGTTGCCCATGGATATTTATGAGTATAGAAATTTATTTTTGTTTATTAAGACTGGTAATTGCTTTTATTTTCACAAACAGCTTGTTCTCAAACATCATTTCCTAATACTCTTCTCTCCATATCTCCAGCATTAAGCAGGAACTTAGCAAATACTTTTTGAAGGAATGAATGATCCTAACTGCTTATATCAAATGATTCTTACACTATATAAATTTGGAGAGCAACTTACTGAAACTGAAAGTTTCAATTTAGGTAAAACAAACAACTCCCATTTGACTCATAATATTAATATCTTTAAAATAGCAAAAAAGGTTATGCCTTTTTGGCATGTGATATTATGTTGAATAGTAGTGTACAACCTGTACAACTGAACATGCTAAAGTATAATGTAAACATTCCTTCCACAAAATTGTCTTCATAATGCTAAAATCTGATAAATGTTAGTCTATATAAGTAAAAATTGAAAATTTAAGCTGTAATTTATTTTCATGATCCTCAATATATGTCACATATAACAATGAAGGACTTTTTTTTTTTTTTTTTTGCAGATAGAAACAGCTTTATTTTTCAAATGGGTTGTTCAGAAAGCATATACAGGAGTAAAACCATCACAAACAAACGTGGTTTGCCATATAGTCACTGGTTTTATTAGGAAAAGAAGACACATTTGAATAACTTGTAATCCAAACATTTTCCAACTCTTTCCACTTTATTTCTTTCTTTTCTTTGAAGGTAGCAACAATAGATACATTTTGGTTACCTGTTCCTTCAAAATGAAGGATTTTAATCTTTAAAGAATTTTTGTTTCTTCAGAGAAAAACAACTGGATTGAAAAGACAGAAGAAAAATGAAAGTGGGTAGAAATAATCAAAGTAGGCAAGTAAGAAAAGTTTATGAAGCAGACACTCATAACTGTTGCTTTTGTGTGGTCTGCCTCTGCTAATGCCATATGCTTACTTTACCAACTTACCCTGCACCAGAGGGTGGTTATGTGAGTTTTGATCTCTGCAACATACAAGAAAGTTGCTGAGACCATTAAGTAAAATTTTAAGAGAAGAAAGCTATTAAAAGAGTTGAACATGAGTGAGTACCTGACACACAGTGCAATTTCAACAAATGCAATCAATTACTAGAAGATTAGTGGGTAGCTGTATAACAAAACAATCAAAAACTGACAGAAAAACAGCTCAAAATAAGCAAGTGAGGGATCTCTGCAATGAAAGCAACCTCCATCATTGCAGATCCTTAAAACAAATTTCTTCTAAGGTGAAGGACCAACTTAACGTGGTATAACATGCCTTTCCCTCCATGTTGGTCTTCAGCTTTGCCTCCACTCTGCAGAATGCTTTTTTATGACCTTCGTTCTTAGCGTTATTGCGAGACCATTTGCTCACTAGCTGTGGTTAAGACTGTCATTCCTCCCTTAGAAACAATCACCCTGAATCATTTTGTCTGAAGCAGCTACAGTCGTCTGTCCAGACAGCCTTATTCCTATTTAGTCTGCAACTCACTGAATGACGTGAGGACTCAGTGCCTTCCCCAGGCTGTTCCTCTCTCTGCCCAGCATGCCTTTCCTATCTCTGTCACAAGCCTTCAAGGATCAGCTCAAATATCCCTCTGTGACTTAATTGGATCTTTGCCCTCTGTAATAGAAAATTTAATGTTCCCCTACTTGTTTTCTTGTTCTTATCATGACCCTTATGTATTAGATACTAAATTGTGAGTTCCTTCAGAAGAAAGAGCTTACCTACCTTTAAATCTTTCCCCACAAGAGAGACAGGAGGGGAAATTGGTAGGAAGAAATGAAATTTACACAAATATATTAAAGTTGGTTAAAAAAAGAGAGCAGTATTAGAAATATTTTAGAAAAGGATGGCTTCTTACAGTGAAATAGTATGCCTGATAAACTTTTCAATTTTAAATCATCCTGATTTAAAACATTCTTCTAGTACTTCAATTTTGAACTAGAGTTATGAACAAATTATGCTTAATATGGGTCAAGTAAGAATAAGGGAGTAGAATCTGAAATATTTTGGGCTGGAGTCATCTAGAAAAGAAAAGATAATAAATAGAAAGCAAACCAAATGGGGACTCGTATGTCAATGCTATGACAGTCTCTTCAGCAATCTATTCTTTCTTGTACTTAATGCAAGTGTGCAGCTGCCAAAAGGAATCTCACTGCATGACGCATCGTTCCACTTTCCTTTACTATCTCTCATTAGTCACCCTTGTCTGAACTCTCCTTTTTCTACATCTACCAGATGCATACCTCTGCTGCTTTTTAAAGCTTCTGCTTAAGTCTTCATTCACATTTTCCTTTCTTCCATATTCCATACCAATGAGTTTCAAGTTCTATCTGAGGCTGTAGCATGTACTGTGTTCCCTTTTCTACTACTGAGAACTGGTGTGCATCAGAGGGGTTAAAAATAAGGGCTCTGGTTTGGGTCCCAGCACTACCAAGTCATTAGTTACCAGACAGTGGGTTAACACCTTTCACCATTATTTTCTTTATGGGACACTAAACTAACCTAAAAACGTTGCTAAAGGAAGTAAAGAGACACTCATATAATGCACTTACCTAAGGATACAGTGAGGGCTTAGGTGACAGCACATCTAATTTTTAAAAGTACTTGTGATATGTGTTATGTAATATACTAAGTGCTTTCTCTACTAACTAATTTACTGGTTAGAATTCTGAGATCTTAATTATTATTCCAATTTTTTATAGATGAAGAAACTAAAACTCAGTAAAATTAAGTAATTTGCCCTGAGTCATACAGCTGGTAAATGGAGAACCAGATCTGGAAACCAGGTTACTCCAAAGCCTGTCTTCTTTCGTTGTTTTATGATGCCTCCCTAAAATAGATATTTAAGTCCTTAAAACTGATAGAAGTTCAAATCAAACTAATGGTATATTTCATATCCATATTATATATTTTAGTTTTTAAAATCCTCAATTTCTATTATACTTACAAGAATATTTCAGAAATAATGTTTTTCCTATCAACTTAGTATTTCCTTACAGACTACTGAGTTTATCTGAGTTAGTAAAGTCAATTGCTAAAATGGTCAAAATGCACTGATTTTGCTGTGTCATTGCCATTAACATAACATGGATGTTTGTTCATTTGATTTATGTACTTCTGTTTACTATAAGATATTTGGCAGTTATAACAATGAAGTTTAATGAGGATGGGATAGGGTGGGGACTACTCAAGAGAGTTCAGAATGGGCACCCTGGGAGTTCATGCCTGCAGAGGTTATACACCTCAGTTTGACTAGTAATAGATCACAATGTAATATCACTCACACACAATAAAAGCTAGCATATGCAGATTTTATAACTTTAAAATAGAAACACATTTCCCATGAAAACTTCTGTGTTCACTCAGATTTCTTGACTTCTTAGGACTTCCTCAAATCTCCTCCTGTTTATACAACTCCTTTAGAGGAAGCTCAACAAATGAAACAATCCAACAATCAACATAAAACACATTTCCTGCCATTCCTGTTGCAAAAGATGCCAGAGAGCCTCCCATGAAATAGTCAAATAAAAACTGGAACAAAATCTGAAATTCTGTTACACAATGGAAGGTATTTTCTATTCCTTCAGATTATTAGCATATATGACAGTAAGTTTCATAACAGCAAATAGTTATACACAGCACCATTTACATGTGCCTCTGTATCTTTAACATTTTTATTAAAGATTTTTATAGACTACAGATTAAAAAAAAGTTACAAAAAGTGTCCAGAAAGTAAATTGTTTAAGGAATAAGACCAATTTGAAAATAATGTTGTTTTGGACAGAAAAAAAAACTTTAAAACTCCATAAAAATGTTTATTTGAAAACAACAATGCAGGAGAAAAACAAACAAATCTAAATTCTAGATTTTTAAAGTCTTAAAAAAATTTTTTTTTTGGTAATATTGGGTTTTGAAATCAAGATTTTGCACTTGCTAGGCAGGTGTTCTACCCTCTGCAGCCACATCCCAAATCCTAGCACCTCCCTCCTTGCAAAAAAAATCATAAGTAAAAATTTTAAGAAGAGGAGTTATAAGGGAGAATGTTAAAAACTGTATTTTTACTTTTCAATAAGTAAAATTGTATAGTACTTATACAGGAAAAGAGTTAATTGACTAGAAGGCAGCATACAGAAATAAACCAAAGTATAATGAGAATTTATTGTTGGAAAGTGGCTTATTTCATTTCAGCATAGAAAGGACTCATGATTCAATAAATGGCACTCAGACAAGTGAATCACCACTCAGGAAAAAATATAATGGCAATTAAGAAAAAAAGTATTACACCTCACATCAAAACAATTCCAAATTTCTGCTCTATGAAAGATACTGTCAAGAGAATAAAAAAGATAAGTCACAGATTGTGGAGAAAATACTTGCAAAACCATAACTGGTATCCAAAATACACAGGAATTCTAAAACCAAAGTAAACCAAAGAACTACATAATATAAAAGGGGCCAACGACCTTAACAAACACCTCACCAAAAAGATATACAGATGACAAATACATATATGAAAAGATGCTCATAATCCTTTTTCACTTACTAGGGAAATGCAAATTAAAATGAGATACTGCATATCTGTTAGAATAGCCAAAATCCAGAACACTGACATCAAATTGTAGGAAGAATGTGTAGCAACAGAACTCTTTATTCCTTGATGTTGGAAATGAAAATTGGTACAAGCCACTTTGGAAGATTTGGTAGTTTCTTATAAAACTAAACGTTTTCTTAGTATATGATCCAGCAATTACACTCCTTTGCATTTATTGAAAGGAGATGAAAACTTATGTCTATATATAAACCTACACATGGATATTTACTTATAAATATTCATAATTGCCAAAACTTGGAAGCAACCAAGATGCCCCTCAGAAGCTGAATAGATAAATAAACTGGTACATCCAGACAATGGAGTAATATTCAGCACATGAAAGAAGTGAGCTGTCAAGCCATGAACAGAACTGGAATAATCTTTAATGCATGTTGTCAAATGAAAGAAGCTAATTTGAAAAGGCTACATTTTGCACGAATCTAGCAATAAAACATTTGGGCAAAGGCAAAACTTTGAGGATGGTGAAAAGATCAGAATTAGTTGGTAGAGGAGAGGAACAGGCAGAGCACAAAGGGTTTTAAGGCAGTAAAACTACTTTGTATGATACTACAATGGTGAATACATGTCATAAATTTGTCCAGACTCCTAAATATACAAATTAACAGTGAATTATTGATTTGGGGTGATAACGATGTGCCAAAACAGGTTCATTAATTGTAACAAATGTTCCATCCTTGTAGGATATGGTGCTACTCAGGAAGCTAGACTGTGTGGGGGCAGGGAAAAACCTTTACCTTCCCCTCAGTTTTGCTGTGAACCTAAAACACCTATAAAAAATACCATTGGATTTGATTGCATAAACTCAAAAAAATTAAAAAATTAAAAGATAACATACTGGCAACATTTATGACAAATGGCAAGAAAAAAATCTTTAATGCATGATAAGATCTTATAAATCGGGAGAAATGGATATAAACTTCTCTAGAAATGTGGACTGTTAGTTGAACCTCCAAACACATTTTCTTCCACAGTAACAGATTTTTTGCAGGGCACATGGCCACCCAGCTAGAGAATATATTTTATAGCTTCTCTTCCAATTGTGTGTGGCCCTGTAACTTAAGTTACTGCCAAAAGAATAGGATTTAAGTAATGTGTTTAACTTCTTTTTTCTCTTGTTTAATAGCAATTTACCTTCCTTTGATTTTTTTTTTTCCACTCTGTTTCCTTTATTGGGAGATGGCATATGGATTGGAGACAATCCAGTTTTGTCAAGTCCAAGTAATGATAACATCAGGAGGACAGAGAGTGAGAAAGAATTTTTTTCCCCAATATTGGAACTGGAACTCAAAGGGCCTTGTGCTTTCGAGGCAAGCACTCCATCCCTTGACTATACCGAGCCCTTTGCTTTCAGTATTTTTTGAGATAGCATTTCACATTTTTGTCCAGCCTGGCCTTGGACTGTGATGCAATGCTCCTGTCTCTACCTCCAGAGTAGCTTGGATTATAGGCATGAACCACCACACCCATTCCAAGAAATAAATTCTCATTTAAAATATATTTTTGGGCTTTTAGTGACAGTTATTTAACCTATATCTCAACAAAGACAATAAAAGAGGACATTCCCACAATAAGGAAATAATAATGGCTAATATGTGAAAAGATTATTTTCTGTCATAATAAAAGAAAGATAAATTAAAATAATAAAAATATTTTGCAAAAATGCAAACTATTAAAAGTGATAAAATCAAATTTTAAACAAGCCTGTGAGGAAATTAATACTCCTGAGGCAGGCTAAAGATAAGAAAAGATTGGGACTCTTACATATATAACTTAACATATTGCATTTAAGATGGAACGTTTTTTCTCTCTGAAGTATGCGCAGAGTGAACCAGCACTCTAGCCTGGAGATGGGGAACTGCCCAGGTTTTTCTCCTCCCACAGGTTAGTGCGATTTTGCAAGTGCCTTGAAGCAGAGAGTTCACGCTGTGCACCGTGGCCTTTTGCAACTCCTTTCCTAACCTTTAATATACCTTTATTATCACCCTCACCACATCTATAGACCCTACCTGGATATATGCATCTGCAATTTTCTGCTTATCAGTGACTACAATACTCCCATGTTGAAAATATAAAATGTATGACCTGTGATGAAAATAACTGCATTAGAGTGCACACACAGAATAAGGATGATCTCCACACAGGTGCATATAAATTTTAAAACCCTAGAACCAAGGTGGAGTAAGGTAAATAAAATTATGGTACTCCACACAATGGAATACTATGAAGCATTAAAAATGATAACCTGACAGACAAGTCATCTTTTGTCATGATAGTTAAAGGTTATCTTGCATTCTGAGAAAGCATATAATCAAAAAATGACAACAAATTTGGTAAAGAAAAACAAATTTATTATCTCTGAACTCCATGACAGAAGGCTTTCATAACATATTAGATGAATGTTAGAATTTTGTTATTATGCTATGATTTAGTGCTTTTTTAAACAGTTAATCAGTTTGATAGAAAAGAAACCTCTCTGGCCATGACTTTAGTTTTACTAGCAGAAATCTGACTGCTTGTCCATCTACCACATGTTGCCGTGTGCTTTGGTTCCTCCAAACTCTTCTACTAAAATAACTCTTAATAGCAGAGGGAACTTGGAATTATTTATTCCCCCCAAAATTCTAAAGTTTTAGAAATCTTGTGGTATTTTAAAAATTCATGTAATAAATAGCATCATTTATTATTTTACTAAAAATGGTTGTTTTAAGTTGCTTTCTAATTTAATCAGTTAATATGTTTGCTCAATCTTTTTTTTTTTTTCTCAAAATCAGCATTACAAAAAAATATACCATATATTTATCCTATGGCCTTTTCTTGTTGCAAGTTCAAGTAGTATGTAATCAAAAGAACACAGGCTTTGGGTTGACTCCTAGCTTTGCCAACTACCTGTCCTTGAAGCTGGACAAGTTAATTCAGACTCCATTTACTCTTCTGTGTAACTGAGGTGACAATGCCTAGGTGTGGAATCTCTAAGTAAATGAGTAGAGCAATGCTTAGCAAAGTATGTGCATTTGCTGAATGGGCATGCCTTTCAATAAAATGAACACTTACATTTCATCTTATTTGCAGTTACGACTTGATGATGATGCACTTTAGCTGACAATTACTATTTTACCAACTTCTACTCTAACAACTGAATTAATACCTGTAACTGTGCTTTTCTTAGCTGCTGGCTGGTAATTTGAGCTTTTTGTTGCATCATATTTTCAATTCGTTGGTTGACTTGCTTTTCCTTCTTGAGCTCATTTCCATAAAATCTGGACCCCTATGGAGGAAACAAAGCATAAGAAAAATGTCTTTCAGGGAAGGAAGCATCACAATAGTATAAACCTGGGGCTAAGAGTATGCATTCTGAAATCAGACAGATTGAATTCAAAACTTAGTTCTACTACTTACTAGCTAGGTGACCACAAAAGACTTCATATTTCTTTCTGTTTTCTTATCTGTAAAATGTATTTTGAAATAATTACTTAAGTCTTATAATTGTTGTGAAATAGTCCTACGCACAAGTTCCTCCACATTCAGGAAAGAATAATGTGTCCTAGGTAGTAGGGTCCCTGGGGTATTTATCTAAACGCTTAGTCAGCGGGCTCATGGGTTACCTCCTTCACTATGTTACTTTCAAAAATTTAATGTTAAGTCATTAAAGAATATGTAACAGACACTTAATAAATTACCTATCATTCATTCTACCACTGAACATAGCATCTATGAAAAACCTGGGAAGTTCTCCATCTCTGGGTTGATAGACACAAGTTATTTCTCCCTTTTTGGCTTATTATGGAAAAATTGCTGCTATGAAGGACTTTTATGTGAACATACACTCTCATTCCTCCTAGGCATTACCTAGCAATAGAAATTCTGTGTCATGTGGTAACTCCAAGCTTAATCTTTTTGAGGAACTACCAGACTAGTTCCTAAAGTGATGTGAACACTATGCAATCACATTAGCAATATACAAGGGTTTTCAACTTTTCCATATCCTTGCCAACATTTGTGATTTTCTTATTTTTTATAGCCATTCTGGACAATAGTATTGTGAATTACATCTAATTATGGTTTTAAAATATGCATTTTCCTTAATGACTACTGATATTGAGCATCTTTCAGTATCTATGAGTCATATATGCATATTTCTTTACCTAACAATACCTATTTTGCCCTGTTCTGTGTGATAGTGGGATTTTGCACTTGGTAGGCAAAGCCCTCTGTACTGAGCAAACAGCCTATTCCCCTTTTGCTTTAGTTATTTTGATAACATTAACATATCAAGTATTTAAAATCTATTATGAAAAAGATATTCAATCAAAATTTCATGATTTTTTAGACAGAAATTTAATAGTAATAATTATAGATATTGAAGATACAACACATACTTTGTGGATATCCATTATAATTTTGTTAATTTTCTCTTTATCTAATCCTTCATTCTGCTTTATTATCATTAAGTCCCACACGAAGCAAAAGATTATCTTGTGATTGTCATTCTTCTCTTTGTGCTTTCCATGCTGTAAACTTAAAATGGTTTCTTTTTTTATCACCTGGAAAAAAGCAAAACAAATAAATCACTTTAAAAATTATCCATGTGGAGGGGGAAAAAAAAAACAATAGGTAAGGATGCTTACTGCCTGAAAATTACTACTTAGATTTTTATAATTAATATTTCAAGATACTATATTCTAGAGACAAGAAGGAATTCATTTTCCTGCATGCTTTGTACCAGCCAGTATGCTTGGGACTTTATAAGTGAACTCCCTGGTCTTAAAAGGTAGATATTATTATTGCTCAGTACAAAATTTAAGAAATCTGTGTCTTAGAACATGTCTATTGACACAAATTTGCCACAAAGAGACATCTTCTGTTGCAAACAAATCTGAGTCCCCAATTCATGTTTTTAATTCCAGATAACCTGTATAGGAATAAAAATAACACTTTCTCTACTATACTATTAAGCTCAATAGCAATTATTCATATAACTGTATGCAGAGCTCCATTCTTTTTTTTCATTTATTCATTATGTGCATACATGTTTAGGCCATCTCCCCCTGCCTCACGGCCCCTTCCTCTCCCATCACCCTCCTTGCTTCCAGGCAGAACCTGTTCGGCCCTTCTTCTCCAATTTTGTTGAAGAGCATAAGTGATATAAGAAAGACATAGAGTTTTTGCTAGTTTGAGATAAAGAAGCTATACAGGAGAGTCCTAGCATTGCTTCCATGCACATGTGTATTACAACCTGAATTGGTTCATCTCTACCAGACTCTCCACTACTTCCCAGTCACCTTCCCATAGTGGCCTCTGTCAGTTTAAGATTACTTTATTTGCTCCTCTACAGTGGGCACATCAGACACTTTCAAGTTTTGGGTTTCCTACCTTTCCCTATTCCTTCTGTTCCCATTCTCCCCTTAGTGTGTGACCCATGTCCAACAATATTACTGCATTTGTTTTAGGTCTAAAGTCTGCAGATGAGGGAGAACATGCGATTTTTGGCCTTCTGAGCCTGGTAACTTCACTAAAGATGATGTTCTTCAGTTCCATCCATTTACTTGCGAATGACAAGATTTCATTCTTCTTTGTGGCTAAGTAAAATTCCATTGTGTATAAATATCACATTTTCTTAATCCATTCATTGGTAGTGGGGTATCTTGGCTGTTTCCATAACTTGGCTATTGTGAATAGTGCTACAATAAACATGGGTGTGCAGATACCTTTGGAATAACCTGAATCGCATTCCTTTGGGTATATCCCTAGGAGAGGGATTGCTGGATCATATGGCAGGTCTATGTTTAGTTTTTAAAGTAGCCTCCATATTGTTTTCCAAAGTGGTTGTACTAGCTTGTATTTCCACCAGTGGTGTATAGAGGTTCCTTTTTCCCCACATCCTCACCAACATTTGTTCTTGGTGGTGTTTTTGATGATAGCTATTCTAACAGGAGTGAGGTGGAATCTTAGTGTGGTTTTGATTTGGATTTCCTTTATGGACAGAGATGGTGAGCATTTTTTCATGTGTTTTGGCCACTTGGATTTCTTCCTTTGAAAAAGTTCTGTTTAGTTCAGTTGCCCATTTCTTTATTGGTTCATTGATTTGGGGGGAGTTTAGTTTTTTTGAGGGCTCTATAATTCTGGTTATCAGTCCTTTGTCTGATGTATAGTCAGAAAAATATTTTTTCCCACTCTGTGGGTGTCTCTTCAGTTTAGAAACCAATTCTTTTGTTGTACAGAAGCTTTTTTATTTCATGTAGTCCAGTTTGTCCATCTTTCTCTTAGTTGTTGGGCTACTGGAGTTCTATTGAGGAAGTTATACATATTGCTTCCAGAGTATTCCCTGCTCTTCCACATATTGCTTCCAGAGTATTCCCTGCTCTTTCCTGTACTAACTTTAGAGTTTCAAGTCTGATATTAAGGTCCTTAACCCACTTTGAGCTGATACTAGAGCAGGGTGATAGACATGGATCTAGTTTCAATTTTCTGCAGGCACTTTTTTTCCCAGCAACATTTGTTGAAGAGGCTATCTATTCTCCATTGTATTTTTGGCGCCTTTGTCAAAAATAAGGTGGGCATAGCTGTGGTGGATTCATATCCAGATCCTCTATTCTGTTCCACTGGTCTTCATAATCTGTTTTTGTGCCAGTACCATGCTGTTTTTATTGCTATGGCTCTGTAATACAGTTTGAGGTTGGGTATTGTGATACCTCCAGCATTGCAGAGCTCCATTCTTAATGCTTTGAAGAATATTGGGAAAAAAAACCCTATTTGTTCACTTCTAGGAAATTATTACATTGTACAATGTTATATGACTCTAAGGCAAAGAATAATTCTTTAAAAGGCTGGGCATGGTGGTACATGCCTATAGTTCAGCTTCTATGGAGGCTGGATCCCTTGAGCCCAGGAGTTGGAGATCAGTGGTGGGGCAGTGATGGGGGGGAGACATAGGGGGAAGAAAGAAAGAAAAAAGGAAGTTTTCAGCTATTTTCCTATCTGTTGACATCTGATTATGTCCAGTTGTACAGGCATACATTTAATATCATTTACGTGCTTATGATTTCCTGGTTACAGTGTCAGTTCAAATGTCCATATGGCATTTTAAATTATGTCCCAAATTGATCTTCTCATATGTTCAAGCCCCCTAACCAGCTCCTTTCAGTTGAGAGCAATTAATCTTTTTCAACTGTCCATACAAATAACCTTGGAGTCATTCTTGACCCTCTCTTTCTCATATACCCTCATCCAAAACTGTCAAGAAATCTTGTGGATGCTTTCAAAATACATCCTGAGTTTAACCACTTCCTCTATCATCTCTGCTTTCATGCTACTTCTGAACTGCCATTACCTCTTGCCTGAACTGCAACAGACTCAGTCTCTCTGCTTCTGTCATAGCTCTCCTACAGTCAAATAAATAGTAGCTCAACTGACTCTTAAATCACAACTTACTTCATGACACTCTTCTGCTGAAAAACTATAATGCTATTCAAGGCCCTAAAGAATCTGGATCCTTGCTACTTTTCTATCCTCATATTGCCTTATACTCTTCCCCTCCCTCACTACTCTCCAGGCACCCTGGCCTCTTTGCTGTTCCTCTACAAATACACTTAGCCTTGAGGCCTTTTTGTACTGGCTATTCCTTTGCCTGGAGGGTTCTTATATCAGATAATCTCTAGGCTAAATCTTCATGTCTCCTTTAAGGTTTACTTAAATATTGATATTGCCTGTCATTGAGGGCCTACTCTGACATTCCTGGTTTTTTTGTTTTGTTTTTCTTTTTGTGCTACTGGTGCTTGAACACAAAGCCTCATGCTTGCTAGGCTTGCTAGGCTAGCTAGGCAGGCACTCTATCACTTGAGCCACTCTACCAGACATTCCTGTTTTAAATTGAAGCTTGATCACTTTCTGATTATTTTTACATCAAAGAAAATTGATTAGACCACGGCAAAGGCTTGCTCTCCAGCGTGCAGTATAGGGAGGTGGTAGAACCTAGTGGGAGGTCTTTAGATTATGAGGGGCATGCCTAGGAGGGACTATATGACCCAGATCTCTTCCCTTTTCTTTCTCTTTGCTCCCTGGCTTATGGGAGCAAAACTAATCATGGGCTGGTACCTCCAAAACTGTGAGCCAAAATAAACCCTTTTCATTATAAGTTAATTACTTCAGATATTTATTAGAATAAGAGAAAGTTGGATAATACAGTAATAAACAACATACTAGTTTTACATTTGAATCACTGAGTTCCTTGTAGTACTATCATTTATGTCACTGTGGTGAGCCTGCTTTTATGTTTTTATGGGCATTTCCATAATATTTTCAAACTTTCTAAACACTCCATTAATCCTGGTTATCTCTTGTCTTCCCATAAGCTCTTTAGTGAATTTCTTTATCTAGAAATCCATAAAGTGAAAAGGGGCTCTGGAAGAGATGTTCACATGACATCATAACATATGATGATTTTCTCCTATTTTTGTAGGGAGTGAAGTTTACTTCAAATAAAAAGGGCAGCAGGTAATGTAAGTGCTGGTGGCTGGCATATGATAAGCTCTCAGCCAACAGTTATTACTATTATTATACTATAATTAAAGATAAGCCAAATTTCCAGAGATGTGAAAATCACTAGCCTTACTTCTATAAAAGGCAACAGGGTAAACATCCGCAAGGAAAGGCCAAAGTTCATACATCATAAAGATGTATGCTTTGCTTTCAAATTAGCATATGTATTGTGATTACCAGGCAGTATCACATATAAAATTCCAAGTCTTACAAATGGATATAACTGTGAGTCTACAAACAAAAGATTTTTTTTTTGAAAAGAGAAATGGGCCTGATATTACAGAATATAGTCCTGCTCACTTCAACTAAGAAGCAGAAACAATAATGTGCAAACTTAAAGGAAAGAACTCTGGGTTCCTGTGGTTTAGCAGAGCAATTCAAAAGTACATTTTCTCCAAAAAATTCAGATTCAGTCTGATTCTACCACTGGCTATCCAGGTTACCACTTAAAACATGCGAGACAAACCTCTATTTTTAGTGGTAGTAAGGATGGAAACTTAGACATTTTCAGAAGGAATTCTAAGAAAGAAGTTTTAGTATGATACAGTTCCTCCCATCTATAAAAGCACACAAAACTATGCAAACAATATCATTAGCATTTAGCAGAAATCACCTGGAATGACAGAATTAAGATGACTTTTATACTGTAAGGAAAGAGAGAGGGAGAAAGACAGACAGACACAGAGAGATAAGAGAGAAAGACAAGTATGAGTAAGGAAAACTACAGTTACGCTCCTATGTGAAGCTTGCTTCTTATTTCTAGCATACTGAAAATAACGAAGCTCAATACTTACTCAGAAAAACTTAGAATTATTATTTTTAAATCTCTCAAATGTTCGAATATTTAGTACTTTTAACTCTATAAATACTCAGCATCAAACTTCAGACTGTGAGCAAGGCATAGTGGCACATGCCTGTTAATACTAGCAACTGGAAA